GGGTCGGTGGGGGTCGGGGACGGCGGGGGCGGTGGGGGTAGGCGGCGGGCATGAGGGCGGCGCGGGTGAGGTGAGGGAGAGAGAGGGGTCGGGCGCGGGGCCGACCATTTTTTAGTTAGGTTTAATTTCTTTGCCGTCTGCTAGCAGACGCAAAGAAGTGTGGCCGTTAGGTGGTTCTCGTTAGTGGGCCACCCTCCCTCTTTACAAAGAACCGGCTGAGGACAAACATGGTCTTTGTCGTCAGTTCTTTCTTTGCCGCCAGCTTTTGTTAAGCTGTTGGCAAAGACCTTCTGACGGCAAAGAACTGGCTAACGACAAAGATCTTGATTCCAATAGTGAAGGTAATATTTTTCAAAATACATGTTTCACATTTTCTAAATGATAATAAACATTTTATAAAACTACACGAACATTCCTTTAAGGGTATGACACATCTTTTTACAAACACGCAAATATTTTTTACATTGTAGACACTTTTCTTGAAAATATCACAAACAGATTTTTTAAACTCGTGAACATTCTTGAATGACATGAGTATTGTTATTGTAACGTCTGGATAATTAAGCTACATTAATCCCCTGCTAATGAGAACATGTTATTATTGCTAAATCCCGAAAGCTTGGGAGAAAGACCTTTAACTATTCAACAAGTATGACCGTGCAGCTGTCCTGGATGATGCGGACACACTATAAACGCTCTTCGCTCCTCGTCCGTAGGTCCCTCCATGATGTATCCGGCCTACTTCACTTATGAGATTGTCTGCCACATTTTCCTACGGAATTTCAAGCTACATGAGGTGAACAAGTATGACGGGAGCTGGGACACTGGGGTTTGGGTAACCGACTACATTATCGCGGTCTAGGTGGCTAACGACGATCTAACACGCCGACAAGCATCTAGCCCTCATGCTAAAGGGATCCACTTGGGCTTGGTAAACACCCTTGTGCCTTGGGTCCATTGGCAGCTAGGGTGATTTGCAAGCCGAGTTCATAGATCAATTCCAAGGCACCTAGTCTGGCCTGCTGATGTCGATGACTTAGGTAATCTTGACCAAGGAGAGAACGAAATGATGTGCCACTACTGGACCCGGTGATTCAAGAACAGAAATAAAATCGTCGATTCCCATGACGCCGAGGACATCGTTGCATTCAAGAATGGCGTTTCCGATGAATTCCTCACAAGAGATTTCGAGGAGTATAGGCCCAAGAACCATGCCGATCTTGATGGAGAAGGTTACCAGGTATTGTTCCCCTAAGTTCGTGTGGTTCTCCAAGCAGAAGGTGCACGATAGGGACCCTGGCAGGTTCGGTATGAAGAGCGCGGGAAATCTAAACGTAACCGCAAGAAACAAGCACAAGAATGATGATGGCGACGACCAAGTAATTAAAGTTTCACATGTGGTGGTGCTTGGTACGCGAGACTACTACCATTTGGAGCCCTTGAGCTTCGAGGTAGTGCCTTTCAAGAGCGACTACCATGCTCTCTTTCGCCTTCACACGATTTGGTGTGATCGCACATTAGGCTTATCTAAAACTCAAGATGCCCAGCCCAAACGGGGTCATCACCATATCTAGTGACATTAAGCGATCTCTGAAGACTGTGAAGACCACATGCGCCCTAGCAGTCGATGCACTTGTAGAATCCCTGGTTACTGACAAGCTCGCACAGATGCAGTCCACGGTCGATAAGGACAATATTAAACTCACCAAGCGTGCCAAATCAACCTCCTTTCAGCCTTGCCAGGATATTCAGAAGTTCTAGGTGCACCCCCACCAATCTGGCCAAGTAGGCTTCGATGGGGATCGACAAGGATGAGCAAGAGTCCACTAGCTATTTAGACAATGTAATTTCATTGTGCTGATTTTTGCATCATGTACTCAAATCATTACACAAATATCCCTACATTAAGGTGTTGTGATTTCAAGCTTTCTACTAAATTATCCTAAACATTTGGACTACCTAAATGATCCTATATGGATATCATTCTTTTTTCAAGAGGCGCAAGCGCGGCAAGACATGCATTGATGCAGGTCCGTATTATTCTTTAGTATTGTGTGCCTTCATATATTTACAAAAAAAGTTCTACCATCCTCCTATAAAATGAATGAACGTGACAACAAAATGAATGGATGTGACAACGCATGTCATAATGATCTTGCAATCATACTCCATCCATACATAGGTACATTATTTTCAAGATTACGACCATCCATACATAATATTTTTAAATGCACACCTTGCTTCATCCGATTAGAAACACTGACCCCACCATACTCTCTCTCCACTTCGGAAAGGGCTGCCTATTCCCACCCTCTATCTTGTTGTCAATATTACACGCGCACGCGCACGCACACACAGAGCTACACAGAAATCAAATAAGGCTATGGGACTACTATGAGCCCAACAAGAACAATGACAAGCTAACGAAACTTTGGCTTAGTTTCATATGGTGTGCTCTATGCGAAGTTGAGACGAGATGTGTATGTTGCTTTGGGAGTCCAGTTCCTAGGGATGACGTCTTGGGCCGAGAGGGTCTTCTTTGTAGTTAGGGTCGTCAGCCTAACAGAGAACGGTCCCACCAATGGGCCCGGCGTGAGGCTCCAGGTGGCACCCCATATGTGCTTCATGTCCTGCCATTGTGCCGAGTTTGCCTGTGCATACATTACGATAATGCAAATTAGTGACTTCACATCAGATCAGTACAATAATATAGACTTGAAACTTCAGCATGACAAGAAAATGCAAATAAGACCTGAAACTAAAGTATTTTCTTATTTGCGTTGCCAAAACACAAACTTGCTCCAGATATCATAATGCAGTCTGTGTAGGGGATGGAAAACTGATCTGTGATACACCCTCCGTCCAAAAAAGTTTGTCTCAAATCTGTTCCTTAAATGGATGTATCTAGCACTAACTTGGTGTTAGATATATCCATTTGAGGGACATTTTTTTCGGATGGAGAGAGTACCTAGCAAGCCAGTGTTGCGAGGCAGGACGTAGTAGTAGTGGAGTTGGACATTTGAGATTGTTGAGAATGGGACCAAGGGGTGTCAATTAGGCCCTGTTTGGTTTCAAATAAGTCATTAATTTATAAGTCGAAAAGTGAAAAAAATGACTTATTTTACCAAACAGACCTAACTTATAAGTCACCCCAACTTATAAGTCATAAGTTGCTCCACCCCAACTTAAAACTTATAAGGCACCCCCTTTTGCATGAGTCCCACCGCCTTTACATAAAAAAATAAGATAGGAAGGTGTGGTCAGGTGATTTATAAGTCAGATGACAACCAAACAGACGTGACTTATAAGTCACTAGTTTTAAGTCACCTGACTTAGGTAACTTATTGAAACCAAACAGGCCCTTAGCATCATTGGAAAAGCAGGGGACATGGCAAAGGGCATGGCGTATTCACTGTGTGCGGGACCTGGTAAGGTACGGCCAAGCAACTCAAAAAGAAAGAAAGAAAAAATGCAGGGGCCAAGCTGATGTCCATGCCTGCCTATCTAGTATTCACCCAGGAAACGTGTCGCCCACAATGGCCATCACATGCATGCACTAGCGCACTGCCCACGAAAAAAAAAACCCTTACATTTTGAATAATCCACCCTCTAGTTCTCCCTCTGCCCTAAGTAGGTGGTGCACAAAGCTTTCTAAGTTTGAACAGACATATGTACAAAAATAGGAAGATAAATAATATCAAATGAACATTAATATATCCACCAACATTATCATAATGTATTTATTCAGTGCTGTAGTCGTTCATATTTTATTCTACATATTTAATTAAACTTATTAATAATTGACTTTGTAAGTGAATTTATACACCACATATTTGGGGACGGAGGGAGCAGCATTTTCCATGCTACTGCCACTCTACCGATCATGAATTTTAATTAGTATAGGTGACGATCGATGCGACCGAATATTTCTTTCGGCTTTGATCCTACCTATGGCAATGCAAAGCGCGTGCTGAATTACGGCATAAAGACACACTCCTTTTGTTTACCTGCTTGAGCTGCATGGATCCAATGTCACCGTCGCCGTCCTCGAACTCCACCAGAAGCGAGAGCCAGAAGGTCGTGGAGCCCTCGACCACGCGGAAGGCGATGTTCTTCCCCCGGTACTTGCACGGCGTCCTGAAATCAAACGGGACGCACATGGCGTTCATGAGCCATCACACTAAAACATGACAAATGTGAACTCTGCAGCCAGCCTCGGCGTGCAGAGTGTGCGCGCGGCCAGAGTGAATAGACAGTGTGAATGGAGAAGTCGTGACAAGAAAAGTGTTGCATGGGGGCACTCCCGGCCCAAGATCCAACTACAGCAGGCAGCAAAGGCATGTGGACACTGAACGGTGAACCCCGGTGGTCCTCGATCGGTAGCTAAGTCAGATCTGACAGTGTCGTCGAGCATTTTGACAACCTTTGTTTCCACTCTACGCCGTACGTACACAACTTGTTGACAGAGTTCAAGTGGTTTAACTGTCAGACAGAAGGGTATAGTGGTACTGTGGTAGACATTTTCTGTCTGCTAGCACTGTCGACACATGCTGGGCGACGTGGCCCGGATGGAATGGAGCACGGCTCGTAGGAGGATCGAAATGCTAAACTGTCAGACGGAAGTAGTAAATGGCAAAGTGAGCATGTTGGACAGTGACCTGCGGAAGACGACGGAGATCTCGCCTCGGTTGCGCAGCTGGCCGGCGTGGCCGGCGACGGCCAGCCTGCCGAAGGCGGCGCCGCTGAGGTCGAAGTGCGTGCGGCCCAGGGAGCAGTAGCCGCCGGGGCACTCGTCGGTGACGATGACGGTGACGGCGCGGCGCGAGCAGATGCCGCGGTCGAGGCACCTCACCTTGTAGCAGGCGCCGCAGCCCTCGCCGGACTTGAACAGCACCGGGCTCACCGCGCCCACGCGGGCCTTCATCGGCACCACGTCCACCAGCGTCCCGTACCCGCACGCGCCGCCTGCGAACAATGTATACGTTTACACGAGATCGCCAAAGTAACTTTTACAACCCATGCACGTAGACAAAAACAGAGTAGCATGCATGCACGTGCGACCGATCCATGGACCGTGGTCCTAGAAGAGGAAGAAGTTAATCTAGAGAAGAAACGTCGATGCTGGCTGGTCAGATCTAGTAACAGCACTGGCCAAACGGCGAAAGGACGGACATGTGTGGGACGCATTGATGTGCAAATGGCTGCATATATATTAAGGACGTGAGCTGCATGTGGATCCGCTGTGAGGATGCGTTAACCGCAAGACAAGATCGAGCTTACTCATGGTTGCCTTTAAAATAGGCCAGTGCTAAGTGCTAACTAGTGAGTGTGAATGCTGCTCATACGTCTTCATAATCTCGCCGTGAAATGCCAGAGCAAAGGTAAGTTTCGGTCTTATCAGACCTTTCGACAAATAGTGCAGAATAATTAATGTCCACCTTCAGTTTTTGTTCATCCGTCTGCTGGAAGGAAAATACTTATGCCGACAGTGCGGGTGGATTTGAGCCGAGATTTACGGTTGCTTTTGCTAGTAATAATAATAAAGTGGATAGTTGAGGACCCGGCACGTCCTTTTGGCACCACCACGCTCGCGTGCCGGCTAAAATGGCATACGCGAAATTCCTTGTGCATGCTATAGGCATACGCGTGTCGAGGATCCGAGGTGGTGCCGATAATGTGTCAACAAAGCTGAAAAAAAGGATATAATATGCCAACGGCTAGAAGTATTTTCTCAAAAGAAAAATCGTGACCAGACGTTGCAGAGCCAGTGTGTTGCGTATCACATTTCCTTCATTTTTTTTGACATGCACGTTTCCTTCACCAACGGGGAAGAGAACAAAAACCCCAATCCCGAGACACTAAAATGGTGGGGCGAATTTGACAAGCGGGTACAAATTACAGACGATTCACGACGACAGATGCCGGGCCATTGCTGCAGACTTGCATGCTCTAGACCAAGGATGTGAGAGCTGCAGACTTGCAGGGGGGTAAAGGAAGTAAATGGATGGCCGTGGAGAGCTTACCATCGCTGCCGTCGCCCTCGGCGCTGCCGTACCAGGTCGCGGTGGCCTGATGCCACTCCGGGTCGACCGCCTTGCGCACAGCCCCGGCCTCCCCTACGCCGAAGAGGAGCGCGGCGGAAAGGATGGAGACGAGGAGCGCGCAGGAGCCCGAGGTGGCGCTGCCGGCAGCCATTGTTGCGCAGCGCTGGTTGCTATCGCTGCCTCGTGAATGTGCAGTGTACTTCTCCCTGGGTCGCCTTTTAAGCCTTGGAGAAACCCCAGTCCCCGACGCGCCGAGAGTTCAGAGCACAAATGGCACGGAACGGACACTGGGGATGCACGGGTAGAGTACTGCTACCACTACCAGGGTGGTGGCTGGATTTTATAGTGTGGACACCCGTTGAGAATTGTTTCGGTTTATAAGCTTTGGCGCGTGACTGGTTGATGTGGGTGTGCCCGGCCTGCTGCATCCATCGTTGATCATTCTTTGCCGCGTGATCGAGGGTGGCCTTGCTTATTGCGTTCTGTTCCGGATGCTTCATTCCGTTGCTGATCTTACTGAACGATAAAGCACTTGTGCATTCATTCCGAGGCGAAAATTGCACAGTACAGTTTACTACTCCTTCCTTCTTCTTTTTTGCGCATATACTACTCCTTCCTTCCGTAACAAAATGTGAAGACCTTTTTTA